TTTTATGTTTCATTGTGGGTCTGACCATCTGCACTAAGCACGGAAACACTGGAAACACAAGTGAACATCTGAGGCTGGTATCTCAGCAGATTAATGCTCGTGATTTGGATTTCAGCCGTCAGATATGCATCTAATGTTCAGGGATCTAATTATTATGTTTGTGTTGTCTGCATTTTGCACCTACCTGATATCAGTTGGTGCCGTGTGCCTTCTTGGACTGGTGATCAGTTTGTGTTTGTGTATTTGAAGTGAGAATATAGAGTCATTTAAATGCTCTGTTTCTCTGTTTGTGTAGGAGCAATTTGTTTTTAAAATATAGGTTTCTGTTTGGCATTGATAGAGGACAGAGTTATTTGCATGAGGAACATTAGCTGGGCTGTTTTGGGGGATCCCATTGATATGATAGAGTGTTGGGTTGTTGTTTTTTTCAGTGTTTTGTTTTATTTAATTGAAAAGTTGTTTTTCTGATGAGGCAAGTAGGCAAAAGTTCTTGTTCTGTCAGCCACAGTAGTGAAAAATAAATTTATATTCAGAGCTGTGGATGAAAATTTGAAAATAGTTTGAAGAAAAGCAATAATACAGAACCAAGTTTATTCAAAACTTTATTCATTAACTTAGTAAAGTGTAGTTACTACCTTACACTGAGCATGCAGTTTAATAAGAAAATGAACAGTCAGCCCAGGTGTCCTTTTGCACTTCTTTTTTCTTTGATTTTTTGTTTTATTTATGAGTTTAATTAAATGAATGAAATGAGAATTTATTTATTTGTACTCCCACTGGAAATAAAAGCTTTGCACATTTTTTTTCAGGGTTTGGCAAAGACACTGAAAATGTTCTTGGAGCTTAACGTATACAAACTTTAACTTAATTTGATTTTGAGAGTGCATCTCACAACAAAGCACAGAAGAATTAAATCTACATATACCAGTACTAATGCTAATATTGTTTTCTGTGTGTCCAGACCAATGACGTCGCAGGAAACACTTGGAACTGGCTTTACTTCATCCCTCTCATAATCATCGGCTCCTTCTTCATGCTTAACCTGGTGCTTGGTGTTCTTTCTGGGTAAGTCATATATTACAGGTAAACCTAAAGGGTGAACTGTAGCTATATATTCTCTTCTTTACGATCATCATGTTGTTTGCCTTGTTTGAAATCACCTCTGCCCCTGCTGTTTTTGTCAGGTTGCCAGTTTCTTTCACTGAATTTCAACTTCTCACAGTCTGTGTCAAAGGATGTGCCAAAATGAAAGAGTGAGACAAAAAGTCAATGAAAACAAACTTTTAATAAGTCAATGAACAAAAGAAGCAAATACTAATACAGCAGAAACCCCAACTTACAAAATTAATTCATTCCCAAGGGTCTTTCGTAAGTCGAAGCACTCATCGTGCCTTTTGAGTGAACGATAGGCTAATTGCTAACTGCAACAACAATACGTCGTTCAAGTGGAACAGCGAAGCGCAAGTACGGAAGCCAAGGGGGTTGTCACATGATTCGGAAGGCATTGTGGGCCTTCTGGACTCAGCCAATCAGAGCCAGCAGATTTCGTTACACGGGCATTTTGCTGTAACACGGGCAGAAATATTGCCGTTAAGTGCCTTCATAACTTGAATTTTTCATTAAATGGGGCATTCGTAAGTCGGGGTTCCACTGTACTTGGACAGGAACATGTAGCACACGAGAAAATGAACACAGGGATGACAAACTGTGTGTGTGTGAGTGTGTGTTGGGGGGCAACTAAGAACTAGAGATCGAAAACGCTAAATATAGAATTTTACCAACTGCTAAAGACTTTTAGCTTTTATTGTTTTTTAAACTTGCCCATGTGTCCCTTGTATACAGTATGCATATATTTTTGGTGATCTTATCAAAATTTCCACTAAATAACTTAAAATTTTGAGTTACATATTTCAAGATTTTTTACTTACTCAGAGGTAACTTAAAATTTACATATCTCAGAACGTAAACTTTTTTCTCAGTAGTGCAAAAATAAACTTCCATACTGATGTTTGGATCCTCTCATCACATCCATATGACAGGAAATGCTGCAAGCTAATAAGCAGTAAATGGAAGTCTATGTCACTTAAATTATGTGAATGTGTTAGTGGATGCGTTTCTATTAGACTTCTTGAGAATATTTTATAATCTTTAAAAGGACATTAAATTAAAGCTTCTGGCTGTTTCGGTGGCCTGTATGTACAAATAAGTATTTTAGGGCCACATTGTAGCTGTTTATAGGAGCAGCAAAAAATAAGATTATCTTATGGCTTGAAACTGAGTGTTAATCAAGTAAATCAACAGAATATTCAGCATGCTTTTCTATCATCTACTGCTTCTCCTTTTCACCTTCTTCCTCTCATTGTCTTTCC